TGTGCTCGATCGGTGAGGGAGAAAAGACGAGCGACGAGCAATGCAGAGGAGCGGCAGCACAGTGCGGGAGAAGAAAAAAAACGTTGTTTATCCATTGTGCTCGTTCGGTGAGGGAGAAGAGAGGAGCGACGAGAGCGATGTGTGAAACTAGGGTAGAGGAGAAACGAGAGCGACGAGGGGGCAAGTCGTGTCTTTCGAACATATGAAACACGGATCGTGGGGTCCTACCCGCGATCCGCGTCTAGAAGAAAAATAAAAACGGAGTTTTATAAAAAGCTCTTGAAATGGGATTTTCAAACTGAAGGTGGCGTTTTGAAAACGCCACCGCTACAAATAAGTTCTCCCAAACGCACCCTTAGAAATCCTAGCACACCACGATCTCTTCGTCACCTTTAATGCTTGTACGCCCTAGCAACTTAGCATTTCATATGTTTCGAGAGAAATCAGGAGACGTGAAACTGTCAGTGACCAGAAAGATGAGGTTTACGGGGTTTAAAGTTAATTTTATCGGGCTTTTTTTTATTATACCAGAGAAGTCATATATATTTTCACATGGAACACCTAAACTTTAATAACATAAATACATGATTAATAAATAAAGAAATATTTATTGATATAATAATATATTATTATTAAATCTATAATTAAATAAATTCTAGTTAATTAAATTTTATTTAAATAATATATCATATATGATACGAGTTATCATCGAGCTTAATATCGACTATTTAACGAGTTACTTGTTGAACAATAAACGATACTCGTTGAACAACAAATGATACTCGTTGAACAACAAATGATTGCGTTCGTGAACATAAATGAACAAGTTCGACTATCTTCATGTTTAGTTCATTTAAGCTCCGAGTTTTTAAAAATTATTTAAGCTTGTTTATTTATTAATTTGAAAGAACATGATCGAGTCTTAATCGAGCTGAGTTCGAGTTGTTCATCGAGTGCGTTGGGTCATTTACAACCCTTGTGCTCTATTGTCCGTATTGAAAGTGCACGGGATCCATCGAGATCACTATTTGCAAGACTTGTTTGAAGTAAGAGCCATGAAAATTCTTTTTGCGTTGGGATATGAAGTTAAGAAAAGTGAAATGCATCGATTGAGGATTAATCACTGTTTTTTTATTGTTAAAAAATTTGCTTTGATCAATTGTTTCAAGTTTGGCATATTTCTGAGGGAAATAATTAGGCCAAATTTTTCTTAATAAAAAATTTATAAATGAAGGAAAAGTGTTCATTAGTGATATATGACAATATGTGTTGTTAATCTATTTTTAATATAGATGTTTATGAGAAGTTTATTAAATTATCATTGGGAGCATGTTTTTTTGGTTCTTAAATAAAATGCATATCTCATCAATATTAAAAATCTGCTTTTATGCTAGAACTTGACATGAATATGTTACGATCTGACATCAAATTCGACACATTGTTTTAAAGAAATTAGGGTCAATCAAATGTTTTCCTTTACAATCCAAACAACTAATACAAATGCAACGTTAAACACGTACAATTTGAGAGGTAGGCAATCTCACCTAAATCCTACAGTTTGAGAGGTAGAAAATCTCTTCCAAACCCTAAACTTAAGACTCCCCACAATAATCTCATGCATATCCCTAACCCTAAACATAATAAGCCTATTTATATCCAACAATAATAATATTAAAAGACTAAATTTTCCTTAGGCATACAAAAGAAAATTGCCGCATAACATTGCAATGGATTTCGATAGTCCCAGTTCTTCTGCCATTACTTCCTGTGACTAGGACATGCTCAATCTCAAATCTGGTGTTGATTTCTAGGATCACGATTGTCCCATCATGGCCTTCCCCGCTAGTTCTGATCGCGACTGTATTTAAGGGTTCAGTCACGAAGGCGAGACACAATCCCTTCATTTTCTTTGTGTTTGATCTCGTTGTTGATGTGCTCGACAGAGAAAGGCGAGACAGCCTAGCGAAGAGACCGTCACTGGCATAGATTACCACGATCTCTTCGTTGTTGCGCATGACAGAGAAAGGCCAAATGAGACTGTCACCGGCTTAGATTTCTAGTCACGCTGTGATTCCTTCGACTTCACAGATAGTTGAATAACAGAAATTATGCAGAACGCGGTGATCCTATCTTTGCTTCCCCGAATTCAACGCCTATTACCAATTTGTTATGATCTGGTGTCAAATTTGACACACTTTTTAACAAAAATTAGGGCAAAGAAAATATTGTTCTTTAATATTCCAAACAACTCAATACTAATACAAAGGTGGAACACCTACAATTCGAGAGGCGATTTGTCTCAATTCCTACAATTTGAGAGATAGGAAAGCTCTCCCAAACCCTAAACCTAAGACCAACCACAATAATCTCATGTATACCCCTAACACTAAACATAATAAGCCTATTTATATCCAACAATTATAATAATGAAGGGCTAAATTGTTGTTTGGCATACAAATGAAAAAATTGCCTTTAGGCTAGGCAGCAACATAACATAATATTTAAATGTGAATTATAAAATTTCAATTAGGGCGGACTTGTTTTATGGATTTGGGAAATGCAAAACAGAATGGTTATAAGAATGGATGGTTATATTAGCATATATTTAAGGTAACGTAATCGAGAATAGATTTAGTTGGTTTGTACATGCACAATCAAAGGTTGAAGATCGAAAGATGGGTTGATAAAGTTGGGGAAAAAAAAAACTGAGCCCAAAAGAGGTTTTTTACCTCTGGCAACATTTAGCAGGAACAAATGGAGAAGAACGATTTATGAAGTCAGCCTTAAGGGTCCAATAGAGGGAAAAGGGCTAATGATAATGGTGTTGATGATGATGCTTGAATTTGGCATATTGAGGCATAAACACTACGATAGATATCAGAGCAATTATTTTTCCCAAGATTAAAAAGCTAGCAGAACAGCTCATCCCAAAGGAAAGAGACAATAAAATGATTTCTTGTGATGAAATGGCCTGGATGGTTTGGACAGCCTTTGTTCTGACTGGTTTTGAAGTGTTATTATATCTGACAACATTCTAACTTTTGTTCATGGCTACATAAGATTGAATGATAGCTTCTCTATTTGTTTGCCTATGTCATTTTTTATCCTTTGTGAAGCTATGTTCTAATGCTCTACCTGTGTTCATCTGCCTGATTTCAAAGTGTATGAAAACCATGGAGATCATTTTTTTCAGGACTTATTCTGTAGTGATGGCCACAAAAGATCCTTGTGGGTTGGGCAAGGAACTCAAGGAAATTGAAAGGCATGGGCAAGATTTGAAAGATAATGATTCAGATCCTTTAAAGGAGCTAGAAGCCAGGTTTCTGAAGTTTAAGAAGCAAAACTACTTGTAAGTATAAGTTGTTTTTGCCATAGGTCCCTGAAGTTTCGAATCGCCTGTTGAACTTTTCCATGAACAGGGAAAATCTGGATCATTATCAAAACCTTGCTCAGGGCCAATCACCTAAGGTAAGTGTGAACAAGCTGGTATAATAGCTCTTTCATCTTCTACCATTTATTCCTCTTTTTTAGGTATGAGGAGCTTCTACACTCTAAAGCAATTCTGTAACACCTTTTTGATGCCTTGTGGTTGTATCCTCTGCAGTTTATGGTCATTGCATGCGCAGACTCCAGAGTCTGCCCCTCAAAAATCTTGGGGTTCCAACCTGGGGAAGCTTTTACTGTTAGAAATGTGGCAAATTTGGTTCCGCCTTATCAGGTACATCTCTTAGTGGAAATGTTTTTTGTTTGATTGTGTGATTGAAAAAAAAAGTCAAACAAAAACAAAGCTGCCTTGTTTATTTATTTATTTTTTGGGGCAACTTCTGGATGTTGACCTATATCTCCCGTCTATCTTTAACAGCATGGAGCTTCAGAAACAAGTGCAGCTCTTGAGTTTGCTGTTACTTCATTAGAGGCAAGGAAAACTTAATCTTTGAGTTGTTTGTGTCTATTCAATGCAGGGATGTTTTCATTGGTCATTTGCTTAATCTAAACAGTTTTATTGTAAATAAGAATGTTTATAGGATTTTGTAGGTTTCAAATATTTTAGTCGTGGGACATAGCTGCTGTGGGGGCATCAGAGCTCTAATGAGCATGAAAAGAAAGTCAAACTCCAAGTATGATTACAGAGCTGTACACTTTAGCGGCTTGTTATTCTTTTTTTCCTTCTTATATTGGCACAACTATCTTATGATTGTAATATTAGTAATCTTTTTTTTTACCTTCTTCAGAAGTTTTATTCGAGATTGGGTGTCTCTTGCAAAAAGTGCAAGGTTAAGCACGGAAGCTGCAGTTGGAAACAGGAGTTTTGAGGAGCAATGTGCACACTGTGAAAAGGTGGAGTCTATTTTTGTTTTTTTTTTTTGTTAAAATTATATAGCTTGATGATTTGTTGCTTAAAATGTGCAAATGTTAGAGTGTTCTCTCTGTTTCTTATGCTGTTTTTTTTTTCCTCTATAAAGAAAATCTGTAACCGAACATTGTCATTGCTGGTCTCAAGACCGGATGTGGAAAGTGGAGGGTTGCGTTAGGTAGTCAACAGCCAGCGTAAAATTTGTTTAAAAAAAAAACCATGACATGAATCATTTTGATCAAAGAAAATCTGTAACCAATGGACAATTTCTGTAAATTACTGCAACTGGATTCCTTACTTTTTTCCACGTTACTTTCCAGCATGATTTATTACCCTTATTTCTATCGAAAAAAGTAGACTATGTTCTGGAACTAGCCTTTTGTATTGGCATGTTTTGATTAATCTATCTTTTATGATTAGGATTTATGATAATAAAGTTGTCATTCATTCATGATGTAATTAGCAGTAATGTTGGCGCCTTAAGTTCATTACTAATCATACGGTCTTCATTATGATGCTGAAAATAACTATCAAGCATGCGAGCACCATTTTTTTTTTAATAACAACCAATCTTTTTTGTATGCATTTATTTTATTCTACATATTATTATCAAAATAAAACTTTCGACCAGCATTTCTACCCTCTCCCTTGCTTCTTTAGACTAGTTCCATAACTTCTCAGGCAAAGCGGCCAATTCTTCTGTAACCCCTTGAAACCCACAACTTTCATGAGTTTCCATATACTGGTTGGACGCCAAGCAAATAGAAATGTAGGTTCCCTATAGTTTAGGAATTTTTTTCAGCTCTCAATTCTCTAATTTTCGAAGAATTTATGAAATTATTAAAACCACATAGTGGTTTTCTTGCAAGCACTAGCAGTATTATTGATGCAGAACTGCCTTTTCTAAACATTAGCATAGGAGAAGATTGTTGCATTCTGCAATTTGCGTGTAGAGATACCTTATATTATTATGATATTATCCCACATTATCAAAATGTAGCTACCCCTGCTATTCTACTATTGTTGCGGCAGGCGTGACCATCAAAGACTTAATTCGTTTGTTTCTCTGTTGTCATTAGGGCTGGCAAAGCTTAAATCCTTGCGTAATTCTTAGCAATAGCTCATGCCCACTGTGCAGATCTCCATGATTATTATGGCAGGATTGACCAACATCAAGAGTTGAACATGTCTCAATAGCTGTTGATCTCTCGACTAAACCACTCTACAAGTTCTGATTATCTTTATGCTGCTATTCTTCTTTCCATCTCTTCGTTAAGTAACCGAGGTGTGCCACTTTCTTAATCTATCATTCTTGAACCCCAACACATGCTCTCTTCTGACTTCCTGAGAAGGCGAATTTGCTTCATTCACTTTCTGGTACTATTTGTTAGAAGCTTGCCACCAACCTGTAGTGAAAGGAGCTATGATAGAGGAATTTTTCCAGGTCAACAACATCCATCAAAATCCACATATTAACCCTACCTGACATTCAAGAGAATCCTCCTAGAGTGGCTTTCTGTGACTCGTGCTTTTTTTTTGTGACTCTAGATTTGTTAAACATTTGTTTTGATGACCTACCCCAGCAACTTGCCAATCTTATCAAGGTCGTTCATGCCACCTAACCGCGTCACACGCCCCGCTGCTTAACCTTTTCAGCCACAAGGGGTCACTATTTATGATAGGGAAATTTACATACGTAGCACATAATTTTTATGTATTTAAAGATCTCACACCTAAACTTTTGATATTTAAATACATAGAACTTCAGTGCTTAAAACTTATGCATGAAAAGGTGTATTGCATTTTAAAAAGGTAGTAACAATGCTATTTTTATTTGATATTAAAGATTTGAATGTTATGTGTGTAAATATGAAAGCTTAGGTGTGAGATATTTAAAAAAATATTAGAATTACGTGCTATGTTGTAAATGCCCCAGGCTATGATATCCTTATGTTTTCTCATGCTTGCTATGCCGTGCATAACTCACTCTTCACTCCCAAGATCTTCATAGAGGTAGTTCCCCTAAAAGCTCAAATCAGCCATCTGGACTTTTTATTTTTATTTTTATTTGTGAATATATTACAGGATGTCGCCAAGGTTGTTCAATTTTATACCAACCTCCAATATCAAATCTTTTTAGTTCTCACGCCTATTATTATCCCAAATTTTCTCTTTGAAGAGGCCTCTTAGTTTTTATTCTATGTAAAGCAGATGAAAAGTGAAATCCTTTGTGAACTCCTCAAAAGAGTTGATATAACTATAAATATTCTTGGGATAATTAATACAGAGCACCCAAAACATTGATATTTACGAATTTAGCACGCAAGTGATTTTTTAAACTACTGAACATATGTATTTATGTGTGCCGCAATCAAACCATTGAGAATTTGGTAAAATTGAAATTTATGAGTTAGGGTTTTATTATAAATTTTGATATTTGAGCGTGAATTTGAAAAATTGATGAAAGAGGGTGCCTGATTTGTAAATAATATTATTTCAGGTGCTCTATACGTAATTGCCTCAATTTTTTTTATATCTTCTCAATTTTAATTTTTATTCTTTTTTTCCTTTTTGCGTTTCCTTATCCTCTTGATGCGGGGCATAAGCGGCGTGAGAATCCTCTTTCGCATACCTGTTCGGTAGAGTCGACCAAATTTTTATGTAGGGTTTGGCGCCTCTTTTCAACGGAGGGGCCACTCAGCTTTCACGGGCTTATATAGTTTTTTTTTTTTGTGTTATAAGTTTTTTTCAATTTTGACGTGTTTTCTGTTAAGACAACCTCCAATATCTCCAATTTTACCTTCTAGGGTTATATCCAACGGTCGAGTGGTGCTCCGATTGTATCTTGCTAGTGTCTATCCTCCGTATCCTTCCTTTGTTGTGATTGTTATCATCCCTGCTGTAGCCACCCGGAGATAGCCCTCTTTAGCTATTTTTCTGCAATTCCACTTTGCTGCCACTTTCCAGAGCCCGCCTTCCACCGGGTCCTGCCTTCTAGCCCATGTTTCTTTTGCTGCTGCCTTCCAAAGATTGCACTCCACCTTGCTGCAACCCCAAACAGTTAACTGCTGTGCTACCTTCGAGCCGACCCGAACCCCTTTTCTGACCTGCTACTGTCACTCAAACAACAAAGCCTTATTGTCATGGCCTGTTCCAACCTTCATTACTGTCTCTTCCACCTTTTGTTGTTACAACTTGATTGTTCCAGTTGCCTATAAGAACTGCCACCCCTCATCCACCTCCTATAAAACTTACCTTCTGATTGCCACCCTTCAACGCCCCATCTTACACCTTCCAGCCACCTACCACCACTTTCAGCCCACCTAGCCAACCTCCACCAATCTTGAATCAACACTAGTTGAGTATGTTGTGTCAGTTGCTATTTCCCTATTTCTACTTGTTGAATTGTAATCTCTTATTTGAATTCAACAATAATATTTTATTTTCCTAATATTTTTTGGGTTTATTCCGATATCATTTGGTATCATAGCTTGCCTAATCCTATTGTTATTCCAGATTACTTAAATTTTTCTTCATTACTCAACCCAATTTTTTTTTCCCCAAACTACATCAACACCCCCACCCCTCCCCCAACATACACCTAGGGGTGTAAGCGAACAGAGCACGAACGAACAAAGCTTGTGTTGGTGTATGGTTCGTTTA